TATTATTATTATATTTAATATTATTATTTTTAATACGTATTTTTCTTTTATTTAAATATATCAATAACATATATTATTATTTTTATATATATTTTTTTATTATTTTAAAAAAATTAATATTAAAATTTATAATTTTATACAATTCTTTTTATATTATCATTTTTAATATTTAATAATTTCTAATTAAAAAAAAATAATATAATTATCTAAATTTATCATAATTTTATAATATTAATAACTAATTTATATATTATATTTATATATATTTTTATTCATAAATATATTTCTTTTATTTTTATGATTTAATTTTTGAATTTATTATTTTTTATTTAATTATAAAGTTTATAAAAATTAAATCTATATAATAAAATCAAAAAAATATTAAATTAATAAAAAAAATAATTTTTTATTAAATAAAATATAATTCTTGTTTTTTTCTTAAATATATACCATATTTAAATGTTTGAAAAAATTACACTATTAATAACATAAATATAATATCTATATTTATAAAAATTATTACATATAAAAATAAATTTATTTATCATTTAATTTAGTTTGTATCTGAATAATTATATATATTTTTATATTTCTTATTTAAATTAATCTAATGTTTAAATATATTATTATTAATTAAAAAAATAAAATATAATATTAACTTTTATTTTAAATAGAAAAATTTAATTAAGATTGCATCTTGGAGCCACTATTTTTAAAATAATAATTCATTTTTTTGTTTTATAAATTTATATTAAAAATAAAATATTGTAAAAAAAAATTAATAATAAATAATATGATTAAATAAAAATATTAATGCAAAATTATTTTATTTTTATTAAATTAAAAAAAAAAAACATTAGAAAATTAATTAATTTTTTTTTTTTATAAAAATAAATTAAAATTTGAAATTATTTAATATTTTATTGAATATTTATATTATATATTTAAAAAAATATCATAATAATTTCTCTTTATTATAAATTGTAATAATCTATTATTTTATATTAATTAAAATAAAAAAAAAAATTAATAAAAAAATATTATTTGTTTTAAAATAAATATATATTTAAAAAAATATTATATTAACCATTATAAAAATAAAATGGGTTGCATATTTTTTAAATAAAAACAATTAAATTAATAATTTGATTAATTAGCAGAAAGTAACATTAAAAGAAAAATAGTAATAATAGGTTTAGATGGAGCAGGCAAAACATCTATATTAAATAATTTAAAAATTCAAAAATTTACCGAAACTGTACCTACAATAGGACTAAATATAGAAACAATATAATATAAAAGATTACAATTTTTAGTATTTGATGTAGGTGGAAAAGTAAGATAACTATGGAGCCATTATTATGATAATTTAGACGCAATAATATTCGTTATAGATTCTACTGATAAAGAAAGATTATGGTAAATAAAAGATGAATTTAAAAAATTAAATGATGATTTGAATTTTTAAAATTCCATAATTTTAATTTTATTTAATAAGTAAGATTTATAACAAGATTGTATTGAATTTAAAACTTTAGTAGAAGAATCTGGAGTTAACCAAATTATTGAAAATGACGTAATTATTTAAAAATGCTCGGCAAAAACTGGGGAAGGAATATTAGAAGGAATGGAAAAACTTTTCAGTTATTTTGTTAATTAATAAAAAAATAGTTAAGAAAAGTAAACTATATCCAAAATTAATGGATAAACTAAAAACGGATTATTTTGAATAAATTTTTTTATTAATTAATATATATTTATACATATTTATATTTAATATATATTTTTATTCGTTTAATTTTTATTGTTTTAAGAAAGTCTTGTATTTTTAAATTTATATTTATATATGAATAAATAAACTTAATTAATATATATATAAAAAATTATTAAATTTATTTAGTAATTTTATTGTAATATTAAAATATTAATAAAAAATAAATTTTATAAATATATATAACATATATTATTATAATAAATTAATAAAAATAATGTTTTATGTACAATAAATTATTGTATATTATTAAATTAATAATGTCAAAGAAAATAAAAATATAAAAAAATAATAATTATATTATATTATTATTATTATTATTATTATTATTATTATTATTATTTTTTTTTATTTTTTTATTATAATTAAATTATAATAATATTTAATATATTTCTAATATTATATTACTTTAACATTATTAATTTTTTTTTTTAAGTATATTAAATTAAATAATTATTATTATTTTCTATTTTTTTTTTTTCTATTCTATATTTTTTTTTTTTAATTATTATCTTATTTTATTTAGATAAAAGTTTTTATTTCTCTTATTAGATTTTTATTTTGTCTAATTATATATATATTTTAAATATTTAATATCTATATATTAATTTAAACCTAACAATTATATCTTTATAAAAATAACTTTTCTTTTTTTATCTCTATTTTTTTTTTTTAATATTAAATTTCATGAAAGTCTTCTTTTATAATAATATATATTTTTTAATTTTATTTGTATTTACATTAGTTTGTTAATATTTTATTTGTTAAAAATTTTCTTTATTTTAATTATTTATATATTTTTTTATTTTAAATGATATTTTTTTTTTTTTTGTATTTATCCATAAGCTTGTTTTTATATTAAATTTTTATTCATTCATACTGTTTTTATTTTTTTATATATTTATTTTTTTAATTTGTAAATAAATTTAATATTCTTATATTCAAAAAGTTGAATTAATCTCCGTAAAACGAAAAAATTAATTGTCATTTTTTATTTAATTTTTAAATATTTTTCTTCTTTTATTAAATCTAATAGAAAAAATAAAAAAGTTTTAATATTTTTTTTAATTATTTTATTTTTTTAATCTAATAAAAATATATATATATATATAAAAAAAATTTAATTTTATTTATTATTGACATAAATAATTTTTTTTTTTTATTCAAAAAAATATTTTTAACAATAATTTTGCTTTTTTTGAATTTTAAAATAATTTTTTTAATTCAATTTTTTCATCTTCAAAATCTTCTAAAGAGTCAATATTATTAATGATTTTCTAAATAATATCTATACAGAATTCTTAATTTTTAACAACAAAATGTTTAATTATATTAGACAAAATCTTATCTTAAATTAAAATTTTTTAAGCATTTTTATTTCTAGAAATGACTTCTAAATTAATTAGAGCATTTTTTCTTTTCTCAGCTAAATCTTAATAAAGTTAAATTTTAAATCTATTTAAAAAATCTAGTAAGAAATCATCAAAATCTACATTTAATTCTAATATTTTTTGAAAGTTTTAATGTATAATATCTTTATCTTTTTAATTATATTAAAGTAAAATAGCACATAGTTCATTTAAATTAAATTAATTTTAAATAAAGTATATATATTAATCAGCACCTAGTATTTTTTTTGATTTTTTAAATATTTAAATAGTGATTTCTTAAATTTTATAACAATTCATAATTTAAAGAAACGATTTCAAAATAATCACATAAACTACTCTAAAAATCTTATTCTAATAGAATTTTTGGTCTTATTTTTATTTATTCATTTATTATTTATGTAAAAAAAAGTAAACTTTGTAAAATCAAACGGTCTTTTTTATCATTTTCATTATGGATTATTAAAGAAATTTATTTCATTAATTTTATTAAAAAATCTAAATCAAAAATATCATTTTTTCTTAAATAAATATAACAGTATTCTATTTAATTTAGATATTATTCGTTTTCTATTTATATATATTGCATTATATCTAAGAATAATATTACTATCTTTATTTTTATTTACTTTAAATGAGTTATTTTTTTACTTGGTAATATTATTATTAAGATAATTAATGATAATAATAAATATATTATGGCAGTTTGATTACTTTTTTTTTAATTTCTTTAATTAAATATATTTAATATTTTAAAGGATTTGTTCTAAAGAGTACCCTCGTCTGTCATTATATTAAATACTTATTAAAAATCTCTTTTTTCTTAATGCTATTTTTATAAAAATTGTTATTCATTTTATATTTAATTATCTTAATTTATTATTTGACAAAAATAAAATTTTGATTTATGAATTTAGTTTAAAGAAAGTATTTTTCTTAACATTTTATAAATTTTATAAAATATTATTTTTTATTTATTTTAAATAAAAAAAAAAAGATAAAAAATATATAAATTTATTTATTTATTAAAAAAGATATTTTTTTTTTTTTTTAAAATAATAAGAATAAAATTAAAATATTAGAAATTCAACTTATTATTATTTATATTGCCTTTTTAAAGTTAATCGATTGTACTAAATCAATTGATTTATATACTTATAATTGAAAAATATTTTTCTTAATATATTTTTCTTATTAAAAGGCATAAATAAAACAATATTATAGAACAACAGGATAAAATAAAAACAAATATAAGTCTTCATTTTATTTTATAGTGAGTTTCTAAAGACATTTAATTTTAAAATTTATAAAATCAAAATATGAATTATTTGTAAATATATATATAAAAAAGAAGAATTTGTCAAATATATAAGAAAGAAATAAACAAATAATATAAAAAGCTTATATATTTTTTAAAAAATGATAAAAGATATATCAGAAAAAAAAAAATTGAATATAAGAAAATATTTAAGTATAAAATTAATATATAAATTTATATATTTATATATAAATATATATATATATATATATATATATAATTTTTTTATTTATTTTAAATTAAATTTATATTAATTAAAAGATTTTATTAAAATTAATATTATTAATTATAATATATATGCTAATTTTATTTATAAATATATAAATGATTAAAATAATATATATTATTTAATTTCATCATTCTTATTTTTTTTCTTAAGATTAACAATCATTTATGATTTATTTATCTTATAAATTTTTTTCTGTTTAATTAGTATTTTTTTCTTAAGATTATTTTTATTCTTATACTTTTTCTATTTATTGTTAAGTTTGTACTTTTTCTTCTTCAATTTCTTTTTTTTCTTAAGCATCTTTTTCTTCTTAAGCTTCTTTTTCTTCTTAGGCAAATTCATCATCGTACTTTTAATAAATATCCAATTTCATTTAAAGATTTTTGATTTGTAAATCCCTTAAATTAATTTATTCAGCAAACAATGTTTCAGATTCTTTTCTATACCTAAAAATATAAAACAATTATAGATATAAAAAAATAAAATAAAAAAAAATTGATTAATAAATACATTTCAAAATTATTAGTAATTTTAACTAATTTTTCTTATTATTAACTAATTAATTCTCTCATTAATTCAACTTCTTCATTTTAACAATTTGGAATTTCTTCAAGACTCTTAATATATTCATCTTTTGCATAAATGGATTTTTTTAAAGACTCAATTTATTTCTCTTACATTAAAATAATTTTACTATCTCTTTCTTGACTTTTACCCAATCTTTTTTGTTTTGTTTTATATATATTTTTAATATTATAAGAAAAAAAAAATTAATTTTACATTTCTTTTTAGAATTTTTCAAACATAGACTTTTGCTCATTAATTAATTTCTCGTTTTTTTAAATGTCTTAAACTAGTTCTTAAATATTAACGTTTTTCGAAAGCAATTACTTTTTTAGATTTTAGATGATTTTATCTTTATCTTCTTCATTTAAATTTTCTTTATTTTAAATTTCTTAATTTTAATTATCTTAACTACTCTCGTCTTAAATAATACTTTTTAATAGTTAGGCTTTTTTTTCTAATTCGGTTCTTAATTATTATGTTTCATCATTTTTTTCGTTTATTATTTTCTATGTTTCTAAAGTAATTCTATATATATTTATTTTTTAACAAAAAAAAAAAAAAAAAAAAAAAAAAATTAATCGAAAAAAAAAAAAAAAAAAAAAAAAAAATTAAAAAAAAATTACAATTAAAGTTCCTTTTTTAGTGTTAACATTAAATATTCCTTCTCTAATGAAGATTTTTCTAATTATTATTCTAACATTTCTACTTGTTATAATTAAACTTTTTCCATTTATTCAGTTTCTTATCTATATCTATATTTATTTTTATATATTATTCATTTTTTATATTTTGTTTTGACAAAAAAAAATAGCTTACCTTTCAAATAGTTGTGACATTTATTTTATTTCAACTTAACTGTCTTTGAATTTTTATTCTAAAGTTTAGTATTTTTCTTAAGTAATAAAGGTAGTTTCTCCTGACATTTGATTCTTCTTCTTTTTATTGTTAGTAGTTATGTTTATTTTTTATTTTTATTTTTTTCTATTTAAGATATTATTATATATTTATATATTTTTTTTTAAAAAAAAAAATTTAAATTAATATATTGAAAAAAATAAGTATAATTTGAAAATTTTTTTAAAAAAATATTAAATAACTATAATATTTTTTAAAAAATAGATAATTATATAAATTTATTATTACATATACTAATTAAACTAAATAATTGTTTATATTATTATCTTCTATATATAATTATATCAATTTGGTATAAAAATTAAATTATATTTTTATTTAATTAAGTAAAACTATAATATTTAAAAAAAAAAAAATAGTTTATTAAAAAAATTTAGAAATTTAAATATGTATATTAGAAAATATAAATCTTTTTTAAATATATATTAAAAAAAATATTTAAATTAATATTTACATTTAATTAAATATCAAAAAAGTATGCCTACATTTAAACTCAATAAATATTCGAAAATCAAGTACAAATTAAAAAACTCTAAAGTATTAAATATAAGCTCTAACAATAAAAAATTAAAATAAAAAATTTAAACTAAAGAAATATAATTATAATATTTTTATAATTTATTCGATTATAAAAAATAGTATTTATTAAATATAGAAAAACCTTAATTTTAAATAGATAACTGTATATATTATTTAGTAGTAATATTAATAAATACAAAGACTAAAAATTAAAACCAAAAAATAAAAATAAACTATAGAGAAAAAAAAAATTAAAATTTAAAATTAAATTCTGAATATATTTATATAAATGAAATTATAAAATAACTGATTATATATTAAGAAAAACAATTAGATTAAATACTAAAATAAAAAAATATTTAGATAAGTAAAAAATCAGATGATATAATGTAGAGCATAAAAAACTTTAATATATAGAATTTGGTTAATATAAGGCTACGATAAAGAGAATAAAGAGAATGTTGAAAAATATTGTAGAATTCTATACTTTAAGTAATATATTTTGATAATAATAAAGACAATAATAATAATAATAAAAATAATAATAATAATAATAATAATAAATAATAATAATAATTATAATTAAATAACTATTATAAAAATTAATTAAACATTATATTTATATATAAAAAATATATTATTTATAAATTATTAATTTTTTTTATTTTTTTGTTATTTATATATTATCATTAAACCAAAATTATTTTAATATCAATATTTAATTTTTTTTTTATATATTATTTTATTTTTTATTTATATAAATTATTTATATTATATATAATCTTTAATATTTAATTTTTTTATTAAATATAAACTAGAAATACATTACTTTTCACAATTTATTTTTAAATTATATTTCATTATTTTATTAATTTATGTTTTGTAAATATTGTATATTTTAATATTTATTAATTTAACTTTTTGATATTAATTTAATTAAATTTCTTTCATATTCTTAAACTTTTTTTAATAAATATTAATATAAAGATTAATTATTTTCATATTATTTACTTAAATTTTATATTTGAAAGTTTGTATAATTTTTATTTTTTCTTTTTAGATTTTCGTTTTTTATTTGTAATAATATTTCACAATTATCAAGCAAGATTTCATCAATCTTTTTTTAAATTATAGTTTTTAATCATTATAATAAAAATTATTTAAATTTATATATTTTTGATAATAAATATAAAATACTTCGTTTGAAGTGAAATTCTTTTTTGGAGGATGATTTTTTATTATATCTTATGCTTCGTTCTAAATCTAATTAATCTATAATTAGTTATTCATATTAATTATAATATTTATTAAAATTTAAAAGCAATTAATATTTATTCTTTTTTTATTTTATAAGAGAAAAATAAAGATTAATTATATTAATTATTTTTATTACTAAATTATATATTTGAAAGTTTGTATAATTTTTATTTTTTCTTTTTAGATTTTCGTTTTTTATTTGTAATAATATTTCACAATTATCAAGCAAGATTTCATCAATCTTTTTTTTAAATTATAGTTTTTAATCATTATAATAAAAATTATTTAAATTTATATATTTTTGATAATAAATATAAAATACTTCGTTTGAAGTGAAATTCTTTTTTGGAGGATGATTTTTTATTATATCTTATGCTTCGTTCTAAATCTAATTAATCTATAATTAGTTATTCATATTAATTATAATATTTATTAAAATTTAAAAGCAATTAATATTTATTCTTTTTTTATTTTATAAGAGAAAAAATTATTAAATATATTAATTTTTTTTTTCTAATTTATATATAATTATATTTTTTATTTAATTAATATAATGATTTTTTTTTTTTTTTCATAATAAAACAATACAAGAATCCTAATTTTCTTTTTAAATTTTTTCTTCTTAATATTTTAATAATTAAAATGAATCAATAGCTTTTTAAATATAGTTATTTACTTTTAAATTTTAATTATATAAACATTCTTCTATTTTTTCTTACTAATTTAATAAATAATCTATTTTTTAATTTTTATAAAAAAGAACTTAATAATTATTTTTTTTCTTTATTTAATCCTATAGTTTATTAGGATTTATTTATTATTAAAATATTCTCACATCTCTAATTTTCTATAATCTACTAATTTATTTAATATCTTAAATTTTATTAGGTTTATTTAAAGTATTAACCTTAAATTTACTTGGCGAAAAATACAATTTTTACTCAGATTCTTTTAATTTATTATTAGTATTTATTTTAATCTATTTATTTTAATTTTATATATAATTTTTTATATTATTAATATGTTTATATTCTTATTTTTCATTATTTTCTTAATTATTATCTAACAAATTTACTTTAAGAATATTTTAATTATTATTTTATCTAATATGAATAATTTATCTTCCATATTTATTTATTTATTCTTTATAAATATTACTTTTTGACTTATTTATGTTATTGACTTTTTAAATTTATCCATTAATTTATGAATTTTAAATTGCACCTAAACTTTTAGATATTACACTTAATTTTTTATTATAAATAATTAATTTTTATTAGCAATTAATTAAGCTTTATTATAACTAAGGTTTATTTGATATTTCTTTTTATGAATTTGATTTTTTATCCTTAGTAATTTTTTATTAATAATTATTATATAATAAATCATCTAAATATACATTCAAATTTCTAGATTTAGTCTTTTACATATATTACTTTTTGCTTTTATTTATAGTGTATATTCCATTACTAGAACTCAATTTTAATAATTGCATTTTTTATTATGTTATTGGTAATTATATAAAAGTATTACTTTATAATTTTTAATTATTTCTAATTGTTGTATTTGTATATTTTTAATATTAAAGCATCTTTTTAAAAATTAAGGAATTTCTATTTCTGGGATTTACAACATGTCATACTTCGAATTTTTAAAGATTT